GGAAGGGGGCGGGGATAAAACCCGGGACCTGAATACCCGGCTAGGGACACGCGAGACAGAAATCGGGGGTTCTGGGCGACGGTGATCGGGACTGCGCAGGCCTCCAAAGGCCCGTCGACCACGTCGTGGACTGCTCGCACTGGGACTGGACATATGCAGGCGGGAGATTTAGGTCCAGCGCTCGAAGTCGGGGGGCAGGGGTGTGGAATCGGGTTTGGCCCCCAGGACCCCATCGGCGAACCCCTGACTCAGCGTGGTAAGTACTGGACCCCAGAGGCCCGGGCTCTTGCGGGGACTGGAGGCCTGAGTCCGGCTTGGGCGCGCGGGCCTCTCCATCACCTGTCCTCCACGCTCGCCTCCGCTCAGCCTCAGCATCCCGGTCCGCGAGGCATGCGCAGCAGGGTGCTTCCCCCCCATCCCCTCCGACGCCGGGCGGGGGGAGGGGACGGGCCACCCCGAAGCGGATGCATTTATAGACACCACCCGCCCCCGCCTTGGAATGGGAAGCGGAAAGGGATGGACATCAGTGTCTGGCAGGTGTTTATTCATATGGATCTAAAACTAATATTTTCCTCGAGACCTCGCAGCTCACCCTGCACCGGTTTCCCTCCCCAACCCATGAATCTTGGGAGACCTCTATTGGGGGGAGGGCACTGGCCCCGAACCATGTTCTCGACAGAGTAAAGGGGCTAATGCGAGCTATCCCCCCCCGTCCATACATTCACAGAGATCCCTAGTTGGCATCCATCCCCCAACACCTCTGGGTCTCCGACCTGGACCCTCAAGACCCCTCAGGTACTTAAGGAGGGTGAACTAGGTTAATATATTCCTGGGTCGGCTGGAGGAGGGGCTGGGGTCCTGGACTCCTGGATCTGAGAGAGGAAAGGCTGGAGGCCCCAACTCTTGAGTCTAAGGGTGGATGGACTGGGGGCCTGGTTTCCTGGGTCTGAGGGAGGAGGGGCTGGGGTCTGGACTCCCGGGTTTGAGGGAGGAGGTCCTGGGGCTCTGGACTCCGGGTTTGAGGGAGGAGGTCCTGGGGGTCTGGACTCCGGGTCTGAGGGAGGAGGGGCTGGGGTCTGGACTCCTGGGTCTGAGGGCGGAATGGCTGGGGGCCTGGACTCCCGGGTCTGAGGAAGGAGGGACTGGGGCCTGGACTCCAGTTCTGAGGCAGAATGGCTGTGGGCCTGGACTCCCGGATCTGAGGGAGGAGGTCCTAAGGGTCTGGACTCCTGGGCCTGAGGGAGGAGGGGCTGAGGGCCTGGACTCCTGGGTCTGGGGGAGGAGGGACTGGGGTCTGGACTCCTGGTTCTGAGGCAGGAATGGCTGTGGGCCTGGACTCCCGGGTCCGAGGGAGGAGGGGCCAGGGCCTAGCGAATGACCCTCTGTCCCCCTCCCAGGACTCTAGCGTGACATGGCTGAAGCACACCAGGCCGTGGGTTTGCGGTCCTCGCTGACCCCGGATGGGGCGGAGGTGGAGCTGAGCGCGCCTGTGCTACAAGAAATCTACCTGTCAGGCCTTCGCTCTTGGAAGAGGCATCTCCTGAGGCTCTGGGTAAGGCAGGCTGCTCCTTGGTGCCCCTCCCAGAACGCAGGTTTCAGCTTGGGGATGTCTGAGGCACACTTCCGGCATCCCAGTGGTCCCATCTCCGGGAGCCTGTCACCCCTTCCTGGGAATGCTGATGCCCTCTCCGAGGACCCTTGGGCCACTTCTCTGTGGCTCCTCTGGAATCCTCAGCCTCCCCTGCTGAGACGCTCCTTCACCTCTGGCACCCAAGAGGGGACCTAGCCACATAGCTCCCACCCCTTCCAGTTTCCAGAACTCTATCCCCTTCCCACAAACTTTGTCTTTTATCTCAGTTTCTTTTTTTTTGGAGTTGGAGTCTCACTCTGTTGCCCAGGCTGGAGTGCAGTGGCACATTGGCATGCTCACCGCCACCAAAGCCTTAACCTGCTGGGCTCAGACGATCCTTCCACCTCAGCCTTCCAAGTAGCTGGAAACACAGGCGTGCGCCACCACACCCAGCTAATTTTTATGATTTAGGGTAGAGACCAGGTCTCGTCATGTTGTCCAGGCTGGTCTCAAACCCCTGAGCTCAGGCAACCCTCTCACTTCAGGCTCCCAAAGTGCTGTGATTACAGGTGTGAGCCACCACACCCAGTCATCTCCAGTTTCTAAACAAAGAGCTCCTCATTCCAGAACCCCGATACCCCCATGGCATGGTCAAGATCTTGGGTGACCCAAACCCCAATCCTGGAGGCTCTTATTCCTCTAGCCCTTGCCCTCTGGGCCCCCTTCCCCCTGCTCCTGAAGCCCCAGTGCCCAGCACGAAGCTCCAGATGTCTGGGTCTTTCACTCCCCAGTGCGGCAAACTTGACTGCCTGGCGTGGCAAAGACCGAACCCCGGCCTTGTCCCTTCCAGAATGCCCAGGTCCAACGTCTTCTTACCAGAACTGACATTTACCCCCAGGTCCCTGCTTCCAGGACTCTGACACCATCTACGTAGAGTCTCCCTGCTTTTCACATCCTCTGTGAACTGCAGGGTCAGGCAAGACTGACTTTGAGTCCTGGAACTGCCGCTTCGCAGCTGCGTGGCCTTGGGCAAGTGGCCCTCTTTGAGTCGCAATTTCACCTCATGGAAAACAGGAGTGGTGACAGCACTTCCTCACTAGATAGTCTTTTTTTTTAGTCAGGGTCTCACTGTGTCGTCCAGGCTGGAGTGCAGTGGCATGATTACAGCTCACCACAGCCTCGACCTCCTGGGCTCAGGCGATCCTCCCGCCTCAGCCTCTGAGGTGCTGGGACTACAAGCACATGCCGCCACGCCCAGCTCATTTTTAATTTTTTGTAGAGACGAGGTCTCGCCATGTTGCAGCTCCAGAACCGGGTGCCTAGTTCTGTCTCTCCCTTTAGTTACGCATCTTGGCTGCTGTGTGATCTTGGGAAAATGAAAGCAACTCTCTGGACCTCAGTTTCTTCACCTATAGAATGGGACTCACAAGAGGTCTACTTTAGGGGGCTGTAATGAGGGTCCGATGAGCAATAAGTTTAAAGGGCTGGGTTAGCAGAGAGCATGGGATGCACTAAATACTATAACTGATAGGATTAAAAGTGAGGAAGGAGGCCAGGTGCATTGGCTCATGCCTGTAATCCCAGCACTTTGGGAGGCCAAGGTGAGAGGATTGCCTGAGCTCAAGGGTTCGAGACCAGCCTGGGCAACTTGGTGAG